ATTTTTTTTTCATATATATTTATAGAATCAAAGACATTTTTGAAGAAAGAGTCTTCTTATTTTAAGTAGCATATGAAGTTCACTGATACAACAGAGGAATAAAGGAGGTTTTTTCAATCTTTTTCACACTCATAAATCATAGCAAACACAACCATTTTAAACAAAACAGTACTTTCAAAGGACAGTGTCAGAAAAAGAAAGAGATAATCAGGAAATACAAGAATATTATGACCACTCTGTACTGCCCTATGAGATGGTATGACTGTGCTGTAAAAAAGGACATCAGATGGCTTCAAAAAGCACCTATCCTTTCCCATCTGCTGCGTAAAAGCAGAGAAACAATGATATCTCCTAGAGGCTGTGATGCTGAGCTGGTGTAAAATATATGAGGGTTGTCAACTTCAAGAAAAGTTTTTAGGACAAGAGGAGGCTTTTGTGCAACTTGGCAGCTGGACAGTGTAGAAAGTTAATGGCAGGACTCTACGCTCATGAATCAAGTCAAGTTACTGTGGAAAAGTCAAAATGGAAAAATGCCCATACTTCAGAAGCTTTTAAAATTAATATGTAGTTCATGGAGGTGGCAAGACTGATTGTAGTGCAGGCCGAAGTCTCCTGGCTTCATTCATGCCATGCTCAGTTTAAGCCAGATGGGGTTTGGTCATGAGCTGGAGTGTTTTAAACCACTACATGCATCAGGTTTTGTTTTTTCTGTGGTAGTTGTGATAATAGGGGGTATTTCTTTATCTTTCTCTCCATCTCTCTTTTCCTCTCCCTTCCTTCCTTCCTTTCCTCTTTTTCTCTCTCTGTAGGCTGAGGAAGCTCTCCTGTACTAGTTACATTCAGGTGCATCTGTTGGTTCAGAAGCAGTTTTCTGCCAGCACCTGGCATCCCTCTCAATGAAATGTGGTCAGAAAAGGAGTGAATATGCCTATAGTTCATTTACAGCAACACCTTATGTCTCTTGAAGGAATATCCCAAAGTGTTTTTACCTCAGTCTCTGCAGCTAGCTCCGGGATGGTCCTTTCCATCCCCAAGCAGGACTTGTGGAAGGAAAAGGATATTGTTAATAAACTCCTGATGTAAACTGCAGTGAATATATATGGAAGCAGAAAGTCGTTCTCTCTCCTGAAATTTAACCAACACACCCAGTTTAACATCTTTCCTTTTCCAAAGAGTGGGTTCTTTAGATATTGCAAGAAAGCTAGCTTCATCCGCAAAAAATGCAACCATCTCTTGCAGTGCAGTGCCCCCTAGCACTGTCTGTACACACTGATGCAGAACTGAGGGAAGAAGGCCATTTTGCTCAGTCAACAACACCTGCAGGACATGGCTTTCCCTGGGAATTTTCACACCAACTATTGACCCAGCCCAGTCATGCTTAGCTTGTGGGATCCGACAAGATCACAGCATGAAGTGATGTGGCTGCCCAGTAAAGCAGAGAGATCCTTAATTGTGCTCAACAGTGTGTTCTCGGTGGAGGATTGAAATAACACAGATTTCTTTATTTGGTGACATTAACCAAACGTGAACTCTAATTTTCTCATATGAAGATCAAGGTCTTTATTTTCTCTTTCTTTCTCTGCTACATTTTTATTGCCATATAAGGCTTAAAGTATTGTCAAGGCAAAGGAGCTGAATGCTAGTTTTTATTTTATTTTTTTTCCCTTTCAGTTTCTCCTATGCAGACAGGGCATAAAGTGAGAATTTGGATAGAGTTCTCTTTTAAGTTCCTTCATTAACTTTCTGCATTACTTTGACCCCACTATCAAAATTTTCTCATACAAATAAACACTCAGAACCCCTGCCTGGCTCTTCCAGATTGCACTTTACTAGTAGGTCTTAGAGCAGAGAGGCTAATATCAAATATCTAATAGATATATTCAGAGGATAATACACAATATCTCTATTTAAAGATGATAAAGAGAATGTGCAGGCAGGTTAAACGATTTAACCGAGGCTTCCCAGCAGGCCACTAGCCAGACTGAGCTTTCCTGACTATTACTTACTTGTGATTTACAGAAATAAAGCACTCTGGTTTCTGTTTATGAACCCTTTAAGTGGCAAATAAATATTGTTGTTATTGTACAGTATCCAGTCTTGGTTGAAAAATCACATCCTTACTACTATAGAGAAGTTCGTATCTTTGAAAAATAATATCTAGGTGTCAAAAAAGCAAGTGAATCAGCTAAGTCCTAACTGACCGAACCGAGATACTACTACTCCAGGCAATGCTAATACATGTGTTAAAAATTTTCTGGATCACCTCTCAAATACTGGTATAAAAGACAGTAAGCCTTGATACACACACAGCCTGCACACTATCCCTTCCAAACAGATGCACCACCCTGCCACTGGATCAAGCTATGGCACTCCTTTTCATCCTGAAAAGTAATTGCAGATTACTTCTCTGGGTTACATCTGAAAAGTGAACTTGATCCTGTAATCAGCACAAACTCCACGTTACTTTAACAAGCTTGGTCAGTCTCACTGTAAACGAGCTACTCGTGCCTTGGGGGGCCCTGAGTAACTTCAGTAACTTCTAGCCCCCTTTCTCTTCCTTTTTGGAAACTGAGAAGATCACCAAAGGGTTTATATTTCAGTCTCCTCTGAATGTGTCCTGCATCTGCATGTTACAGTCACTCTTGGCATTCACACAGCGCCCAACTTCTTTAAAGCTTTTTACAAAGCATTCAGCTTGTTAGTCCTCAGAATGTGCAGGAAAGGTGTTATTATAGAAATGAAGAAACATCCTCAGAGGAGTTACTTGGCCAGAGAGTGAAGGGAGGTGGTGCTGGAGCTGTGATTATAATCTAGTTGTGTGAGGGCCAAACTGTCTCTTATTTACAGCAGTGTCAAGTTATGGAATAACTCCACTTCTCTCAGATACTGATCTGAGATGTTGATAGACCAGGTGTATCATGATGTTGGTGATATCAAACTTTTTACAACAACAAAGAAAAAATGAAAGTGCCAGACACACCTCATTTTTCTTCGGTGTTACTCTGCTGAGGCCAGGGGAGTTGCTCCTTGTTTACACCCAGGAAGACTGAAATGACAATCCAATCTGACAGATTCAACTTCAGCTGTCGTACCTTGAGCAGACAGCCCAACTACCACAGGAGTTTTTTTGAATAGGGTTTCTCATATTGCAATTTGGAGCCAAACTATTCTGACATTAATGTGTCTAAATCTAATGTCCTGTTTAATACTTTGCTTCACATGTACTTACATGACCCTGAGCATATATGACCCTTAGCACCTCAACACCATCTGATTTTTTCAATGTGTTCACTAACACACATTCCTGAGAAGCTCCCATCACTATTACTCCATTAGACCAATTGGGATTTGAAGCACAGTGTCATGGCAAGGGTACGAATCTGCATTTCCCACTATTAGCATTGCAACCTTGATCTTTTCTAGCAACACCCATCCTGAAGCTTTTGTCTACCAATGCTCCAAAATAAAAGCCTGTGTTTCCATAACACAGGAGGTTTTAATTTTATGTGGACAGTATGATTAAAGAAAAGGTGTAGGCAGGCTGTGCTTCACCCAGATGGAGCAGAATTGTAAATCCAAAGACTTAGCTGACTATTTAAAAATTTAGGACAGCTGGTCCCTGGCCTTTAATACCAGCATAATTTATAACTAGACATGCTTAAGTCTTGTAAACCCCATGGAAAGTACTCTGACATTATATACACTGGTTTGATACTGTGATTAATCAGTACTCAGTCCCCTTTGCAGGATAATAAGGCTGTCTGTATCTTGCAGCTGGCAATCTCCTTCCTTACAGTCCCAGCTCTTCTATAACATTTACATTTCTACAGCTGATAGAAATTTACAGTTCCAAAAGGGGATAAGGGAAAACAAACCAAACAGGACTTTTCTATAAATTCCACTAAAGCTGCTCTGCTAAAATATAATTTGAGATTAAATGTTGGGAGTGCCCGGGTAGATACAACACTACTTTTTCCAGCTTGGTTTTAGTGGTTTATGACCCCTTGCTGACTGAAACCCCCAAGAAGAGGAAGTGATGGGTGGTGGTAGTGGTGCAGTGACAGGAGAAGAAGGAGCATTTTAGCAGGATTAAAAACTGCAGGATGAAATCCTGGTTTATAGTTCAGCTACGTCTTGTGCTTTTCTTCCATGCTAACTTCACTGCCTATGGAAAGAGAAAAAGAAGCAATACACTGCACTCCCCTTGCGTTTTCTGATCGCTTTCTGAAAGCCCTTTAAAAGACTGTTTTCCCTCCCGAGATGGTTTCGAGGGAAACAGCCCAAACTCCCCAAGCGAACCACAGACTCCACATGCGTTTTCCAGGTGCATCTCCGCACCCGGAGGCGGCTGAGGGGAATCAGGTCCTGACTGAGGTGGCGGGGGAACCTCCTCGGAGCCAGACCCTGTGCGGGGCACTGACAGCCGCGGGACGGATCCTCACAGATACCTCGTAGGTACAACTTAAGTTTTGAGGAGCTTTAACTTGCCCCGGCGGCGGAAAGGGACTTGATCCGGAGCCAGGGATGTGGGCTGGGACCGGGGACTTCTCCTCAGCAAGGCCGGTTACCTGCGCCACCGCTCGGCAGGCACCCAGCCGCCGCCC